GAGATGAAGTGATATCCATCACAACTGCTGCTGTTGTTGAAGTTGTTTAGAAAGAGCTGGTAGGAGAGTTTCCAAAGCTTCTGGATCTCAAAGTGGGTCTTGTTTTCTTTTTTTCCTGTCAATGCAGTGGGAAACAACCAGAGAGCAAAAAGTGGGAAATAAATTCCCTGTTTCTCAGAATTAAATCTTCTTGTCAATGAATAGTAGTCACTTTTGAGCTCTGAGCCTTTTTTGGGCATTCTGTGTGCAACCATGACCAGCCCTTCCACATGGAAACCCATGTTCTCCTAATTTCAGCACTGGGAAAATCTCAAAACTTTGTCCAGCTAACTACATTTAAAGGCATAGATATTAATGCTTCAAAAAGAATAAAATTCTTCACAGAGCAAACAAATATATCAGAAACTAACTACTTGAGAATGAACCCATTGTTTACTTCTAAATAGCAGGGGAAAGTACCAAAAAGGCGACCCGGTATGGTCAGATACAAGGAGCATTACCTCGCATGTGGGGAAAATGTTGTTTGCATACTTAAATCAAATTGTACGAGTTCATGGCAAATTTTCCTCACATCTATCAATTTGACATGTTTATTGACTATGTTTTCAGTCATATTCAAACTAATCCTGAGTTGCATTGGTGAAAGAGATAACTAAGGGTAAATTGAAGTCCCAAACACAGGTTAAATAGATATTGTTTGGGTTAGGTGGGATTCTTTCCATTTCCATATATCCGTACAAGTTAAACCTAACTTTGGAAAAAGATAATATAGACAAGACCTCAATGTCTCTTATTGTCCAGACAAGAAGGCTCCATCCTGATTGTTTTTCCTTCTCAAGATGATTCAAAATTTTGGGTTTAACAGAAGCACAAAAGAATGAGACAGGATAGTAAAAGTTTCAAGGAGTGATGGGAAGTAAGCTTAGAATACAGGAGATGAGGAGGGAATGCCAAAGTTGATATTGGAATATTTCACTTGCATCTTTGATGACCCTTTTTTAAAGTCCAGAGATCCTGCCTGAGTTCTTCCTGACCCAGTGCAACATGCTCCATTTATTAATATGGCCTCTTTATCTCATTTGGAAGGATCTTATTATACAAATATATGTACATATACTTTATGTTAGTATTTTTGCTCCCTTCAATTCTGTCTGTTTTGAAGCTGTCATTGGACTTTATGTCATTCATTATATAATTTTTCATCGATTTCTTTACTCATTTCAATTAAAAGAAACGTATCAAGTGCATAAGATTCTCTTTTATAGCGAGATTTTATTGCATTTACAATGGCTTTAGAACCAACCTTTATTTCTTTATTCATTTAACTGTTCAAGATAAATTCCAATTCCCATAAGGAACAAGTTTTTAGTGACAGAAAATTATAAAGAAGAAGAGAAGCATACTCTTAGAATATAGAATGTCAAATGCTAAGCTCAACAAACCTGCTCTTCCATTTTTAAATATCAGGTTCAGCAATGGAGTTTTCCTGTAAGTCAAAAGAATGAAAGGAAGCTAAAGAAAAAGTAAACAAGCATACAAAAAGATATGGCTAGGCTTTGCTTTATTGACTCAATCATGTTCATAACAATCTAAGATGGTATGGGAAAAACATCTTTGCCTTACCAACTACCTCCAAAACAAAGTCCTCAGATTAAATAATATCATTCCCTGTGTCCAATTCAATTTTCACATAAGACTGTTCTCATTACACATGACAACAGTCTTCTTCTTAAAAAGCTGTTGAAGGTTTCCAGTCCTTATCTCTGGCATTCTACTTTTCTGACCGGCATATAACTCAAAAAAAATTCTGCCAAAGGCCCACAGGCATGTGGGTTAATCAGTGAAGGTGAACATCCAGAGAGTGTACTTGGTAAATTGGATTTGAATCACACCAGTAAAAGGTCAAAAAACAGGAATAAGCATACTTTTGTTCAAGGTGCCCTTGATCTCGGAATTAGAAACATAAAATTCGCATTCAATGGTCAAGAAAGGGGCTGATACATGTGATTAGTAGATAATTGCGTGTATCCAAGGTTTGCACTACAACTATGAATTCAAAAAGTGCATGGTTAGGAGGATTCCCAAGTTCCAAATAAAACTTAGAAACGTTAAGTTGAGAATGCATCTGATGACATGATTTTTTGCAAGATGTTTATTTTCTATGCAAGGAATAAGGCGGAGTTATCAACTATGCTTGTAATATTAATAAAAATTACATGCCCTAATGACATCTATCAACTCTACAGCTCCAAGAATCTCACACAAACTATAAAATTCTTCTCCTCTTGAGAAGAAAGTACTACATGAATACAGATTATATTATAATTATACATAATAATGAATGATAAAGCAGCATCTTTATGAAAATTCTTCACATTATTTAAGTATTAAGATCATGAAATTTAAAATATTTTCAAAAAAGATGCATGTAAGGATTTTATTTAGATTAGACTTTAATTATTATTGAATACTAATATTGCTTCCTCCTCAAATTCTTTCTTTTGTCTCATCCCTTTCTTGTTCTCTTTCTCATCCTTAATTATTCCCTTCCTAGTTTACATCACATATTCTACGTTAGGGATAAATAGAGAGAAAAATGCAAGTAGGGCACACAGGGAATGGAGATACCTAATTGCATAGCAATTTTTTTACACCTTCATCTTGGAGGAAGAAGTGCTAGGAGAAAATAAACTGCATCTTAAATCTACAAATAATTACAGGTTTAATTGTCTAAAATCAACTTTCTTTATTGAGTACATAAAAAACAAAACAATATATAACAACTAACAGGCACTAGATTACATGGCATATAGTCAATCCAGCAATCTTTTGTGCTTACACCAGGAAATTGCAATCACATATAAGAAAATGCTTCCAGTGGCACCGCCGCCAACAGTCCAGAGGAACTCTTGCATCCCAGCCTTTTCTTCTTTGAACAGATCAACCTTGATATTCATACCAAAAATGCCTGCTACAACAACAAATGCACTCACCACCAGGGTTGCTGTTGTTAACATGACCCCCATTTGCAAGAGATGGTTCTGTTTGTCATCCAGCATGATGTTGATGTAGTCTTCTGTGTCATCAACATACTCCCTCAGCTTGCAATAGAACCACAAGTGATAGAATGTCAATGAAATGTAGGACACAAACTAAAACAATCTCAGAAAAATAAATTTTCATGTAATAGTCAGATTTGCAGGCTCAATTTATAAAAACACTTAATAAAGTACTAGTCTAGCAATAAGGCACCAAAAAAATGGATATAATAACCACATACAACAGCCTCATGGCTCATGAGGTTGTATCAGAAGGAACTTTAGCTGAAATACGCTCTGGAATACTTCGAACATGCTAGCTAGGTACATGAATCCTTTCCCATAAAAGTCATGTCTGGCAAGGTACCTCGTTAACATCAAAATGCATACATAACAAGAAGCCTTACTAGGCTTGATATACAATATACCCCAAGTGTTCCTTGAAAGGTCATACACAAAACATTGCCATAATTTGCAAAAACTACTACAGCGGGAGGTAATCAGGAGTTATGGTCAATATAAAGAATCTTGGTGATCAGTGAACAAGTGTAGTAGTATCATAAGGCAATTGAACTTGTATGAATGTCTTATCTTTTATCAAAGAAATATTATCAATGACTGTATAAAGCAATAAAATGTATATAATTGTTGGGATGCCCCAAAACATTAGGAGCATAAAAAATCCAAATAAGAAAAGATAGCAAAAGCTACCCAACCTACTAGATCATTTACATAAAAATAAGGGTAAGTAGCAATTTTATCCGTCTCTGAATGTACACCTAAAAGAACCAAACAAGGCCTGCCTTTCCTCTCTTTAAGTATGGTTACCTATTTCCACATCCTGATTGGGTTAACAACATATATTACATTATCCACCAAGATATTGAATTCCCTATTTTCAAGTGTATGACGGAGAAGAAAAGTCATACGAACATTTGGTACTCTTCCCTCATTTATGTGGATCTCTTTCAGAAAAAGACCATTCACAATTCAAGACCTATATTCTTCTTCTCACTTGGAGATATGGCAGGACTTTACAAGTCTTTTTCCAAGATTCACATTTAGGTCACCCACTATATGAGAAATTTTAAGAAAGTAGGTAGACTATATTGGTGATTGTAATTTGAGGGAGAGAAAATATCCTGCCCACCAATGGATCAGAATGGAGATTCGTCAAACATTCAAGTCATTGATAAATGTTGAGTCTCAGCAGAAAGAGAGACACAGGAGAGAGATGGTTATGTGTGAAATGTGAGGGGTCACTAGAGTCATTTATATATTCAATGATAAGTACGTAGTCTAAAGGGGCTTGCCCTAACCGTGTCCCACATTCTTGCACAACACTTCCAAAATAAAAGCAAAAAGAATAATGCAAGCCTTGACCAAATTAGCCACTAAAAGAAAAGCATGAATGGCAGGAACAATATGTCAATTTTAAGTATGAAGGCAAAGTTTCCTCAACTAGTAATTAGAGCAGGAGGTTAAGCTGCTTACAGTGGATAGGTTATTCAGGGTACCATCAATCTGAACAAAATATGCCTCCAAGAGCATTTCAAGCTCCTCCACATCAAGTTGCTTGCTTATAGCACTACGTGTGGTACTTGTATGTGGCCCATGGATGTCTCTACTAATTACACTGTGTGCGCCAAATAGCAGTTCCTGATGGTTGTCAATATGTTGAAAATCACCTTCAGAAATGATGGCACCCCCATTACTTTCCAACGAGATTTCAGCAGGAACTCTGAAATGTTACAAAAAATACATTGCAGCCTTTAAGTTCTGAATAGAAAAGGAAGAACATGAACAAGGGGAGGAGTCATTTCTACTATCAACGGAATAGGCAAAGCTATCACATGCCTGCCATCCATGTCTGACTGAAGTACTTCATCATCCATGCCATCTTGATCATTTATAGAAGAAAGAGAAGAATTTTCAATATGTTGTTGCACAAGCTTCTCAGTCAGATACATCTCAGCCATATCCTCATCATCATCTAGCAAATGCTCTAACTCGTCCCTGACCTGGTATATAAATAGGGGTGCATGATTATTAGGAAAAATCAGAAGAAGTCATGTTCATGAGAGACGGTGCAATTAACCATGACTATTCAGTGTTAATGACACATGAACGGCATAGTAGGGTATACTCATAGGTCTGCCAAATTGGCTTTAATTTGTTTCCCTGTAAGACGTAATGAGTAAAGGTGCTTATCCATGAAAAAAAAAGACTCCTACCCACGGACAGAGAGCTCAAAAAAGTCCACACAGAAGCTGACAAGGTCTGAAAAATGGGGTTGTAATTTGTTTGCTGAGAAAAATACAAGAACCAAGCACTAAAAAATTTAATCATTTTTTTTTGCTGTTTCAATCTGGTGTGATTTTTCTAGCCATATACTCATTTACTATTATAAGTGGTGCAATGTGAACATATATATATATATATATATATATATATATATATATATATATAGCCTACATCAACTATATCATAGCCTCATCACTTACAAAAAATCATATTAAAAAGTTGTCAATGCTCCCTTTCTGTTTCAAAGCATCTCCAAATTTCATATTGGACTGAAACCAAACTTAAAAAAGTCACATGAATGCTTGGCTTTGAACTCCATACATTTAAAAGTAGAAATGAACTCAATAACTACCACAAAGATTGAAGCCAGATGTATAAAAGCAGAGTTCACCGACAGATAATGCCAAAAAAAATTTGCTTGGCCTCAATTTATTTATTTATAAACACCATTTAAAGATGATCAAAAACTAATAGTTAAGAGCAAAATAATCGACAACCTAAACTTAAATCATGCATTCAAATCAGAATTACAAGCTGAATCAACCAAACCTTTTGCACATGTCCGGTTATAGCAACTAATCGGCTTTTTATCTGACGAACGCGTTCCAAATTGAGAGTACTGATTTTTGAAGTCAGCTTATCCAGGGCCGGATGAGCTTCTTGCTCCAATGTCCTTGCCTACCTCAAAATAAATGAAAAAAACATGGTAACAAATAAAAAAAACGACTTAAAAAACAAGAAAAGCGATGATTAAAACGATGAAATTAATTTCAAGCAACGAGAAGGTATGTGTTTCTCTTACTTCATTGTCCAAGGAACTGCAAGCAGCCTCAAGACACGCCTCCAATGCAACAAACTCAAAGGGAAGAAGCTTCAGCCCATCTCGATTTTCCAGTGTTTGTTTTACATCTGCCTTACCCTCCTCTCTCTTCTCCGGGAAGCCGCCGGAAAATTTTCGAGGGCCAACTGCCCCTGATTTTGGCTCTTCCCCATCATACAAATTCGCCCAGTTTGTATCATTTCCATTCACCCCTCCCTCCTTTACCATCAGTTTTTTGCCACAGAAAATTAAACAAAAATCAAGACAATAATATGGATTTCCCCAAAAATCAAGACAAGAATATGGGTTTTCCCCCAAAATCAAGAAAAGAAAATGGATTTTTCAGCAAAAAGTCTAAACAAGAACATCGGTTTTTCCCCCAAAAATCAAGACAAGAACATGAATTTTCTCCAATTTTGAATCAATGGTGAGACAGTGACAGTGGCAATGTTCATAAGAAGTAGTGAAAATTTATGGCAATTCAGTTTAAGAATGAGAGAGGAACCTGAGCATCCAACAAGCAAAAAAGAGAGGAACCTGAGCTTTGGTGGCGTGGTGGTGGCGCAAGATTCTCCGTTGAAGCTCCTCAACGAAAGGTATGACAGAAGGGTCTCTGGAATTGAGTAAGAGGACTTCATGGGCGGTAATGATGGCCTTAATGTGCTCGAGATTGATGACGATGGCCCGTTCACGGCCAAGAATTGTGGAGGGGTAAGAGAGGAGTGGGTCCAGAATGCGGAGGTCGCGGGCCGGAAGGCCCGTGCGCCGCATGATGGCGTGCTTGCCTGCCTCCACCACCTGAGTTTGGCCGGTGGAGTCTAGGGAAAGCCAGGGACGGACTCCCGTCGCCTTTTTACGGAGTCCGGTGACGGCGGTTGTGGTGGCGGGGGTGGTGGTTTTGAGGCCATCGTCACCGTCTTCTGGTAGAAGGGTGACTGATGTTGGTGGCTGTGGGTATGGCCCTCTCATGTCGATCCACTCCTCTCTCTCAAACTCACTTCTTTGATGTGCTATATCTATCAGATTGGATTCCGACAGATTTTGAGGGTGGGCGGAAATATATGATATACCCATAAATTACACAAGGGTCCCCCAAGATTTGTATAATTGTACAGAAGGGAATACTTAATTTGTGAAATACCATAACGGCCTTTCATGCTTTGTCAAATTGTACAAACCTTTTTGCTAGTTAAACCCACATTCAGATTTGTTTCCGACATTTCTTTCTTATTTAATTTACGTGATAGTAGAGACGTGTTATAAATTTAGAAATCTTGAATTCGGATTTTAATAACTCTTTGTGATTAAGTTATGAGAAAATTATCTCTCATGAATACCTGAGTTCTAACGTGGATAGTCCGTTTTTGATCGGACTAAAGAAAAAATTAGTCAAAGTACACATAAATTAGTCCGAAGACTTCTGACTGCTTAAACAAAAAAAAAAAAAATATAAGTCTAAGCAAAGTTTTCTCTTTACCACTTTTATGGGGTTATATGTTCAGACAAAAAGTTCATAAAAAGAAACTTTCAAGTTTGTCGACCTTACTATGTATAAGCACTGTCCCATTTTTTGATTATATCTTCAAATTTAATTCGACTTTACTTAGTTATTTTATATTAGGGGCTCGGATTTGGGCATAGACTTAGGTAAATCGAAAAATAACACTCAGATCAAATTTAAACTCAATTTTTTTGAATTCATCATGTTAAGGGAGCTATCGAGTTGAATGAGACATTGCTCGAGCTCGATTTGATAATTTAATCAATTTAACAAAATCTAATCATATTAGGTTTGTTTCCTTATCCTTCATATGAGTATTATTGTTGTAAAATTATGGACAAATAAATAGCTTCTATGAACAACTAAAAAAATAACTTCTACGAGAACACCCCGATCCTGCAATCTATTTGTTGTAAATGGTTTGCAATTTTTTCTCCCATTTATACTTTGAAAGTGATAATGGAAAGAATAAGATATAAAACGTTATGTTTCTTGTACCAATAACTCATTTGTCTCCAAAATGTTGACCTTATTATGGAAAATCAAATAATTCAATAATCAATATGCAATCCATATTTTCATGGCATGTGAGATTGACAATAAGATTCATCTACATGAATCTCAAAAACTATACTTGATTCCTCAATATTTTCAATATTCTTTTAAATTCATCGATTAAAAAACATAAATGTAGATTTACTCCATTATAAAATACGAGTTTTTCGAACAAATTTGGAGCCCCATTTGGTAATTTACAATTGATACTGAGAGAACCATCTTTCAACCATGGCAAAACATTGCTTAGGCTTGTACTCTGGTGCAGTATGACCCGCTCCCTGTAAAAAATAAAAAAGAATACATCATTTTTTTTATTAGTTTCTTCTTTATATCGTATGCAGAAACAGTTGCGTAAAAAAAAATTTTGCCTTTACAGTCGCAAATGTTAGAGTAAATTCATTTTTCCTATATTTTTCTGCGAATCTGTAGAAAACAGAATAATATAGCAATAGTAAGAAATAGATTTTTATGATCAAACCATTAGGAAAAATCTTAAGAAAGAATTTGTTACTAAAAAGATCGTAATTTCAAAAATTGACCCTGCAACTTGACCATCGACAAATCATGGTCTCCAATTGTCATCGACAGTCAAATTAAGCAAACTTATCCATTCTAATGTACCAATGTATGGCATAACCATATCATGATCACCACTGCAAAGAAATAATGAGATTATTTGTTAGTAAACTTCATGTTGTTGAGCATATAAATAAGCGTACAACTAAAAATATTTATGTGCAATGTGTTGGTGTAATTACACAAATTGAGAAGTAAAATATAAAATAATAAAACTTTGATACGAAACAACTCAGGCTGAGACGCGGGTATCTCGCTCTTTAAGGAGATTCATTCAAGACCTTTGCGGATAACAAAACCCTAATCCAATACAGAGTTCTTGGTGGGTATATGACCAAAGACACATTCATTAAAAGCCAAAGTATCTTTCCTCTGTTGCAAAAATCTGAGCATGGCTACACTAGATCACACAAAATAGGATAGCTACAAAATTGCACTATAGTTTTGATTTATATTCAAAATAATGAATGAATGCCTTAATGAATATAAGCTTGATCTGATTCTTTGTGAATCCTTACAATTATTAAAAAAATCAAAAGAGTGAGATTGTGACAACATGTTACCTGTATATTAGTGCTCGATATCCTTTCGTACTAAGAAACTGGTGACACTCGACAACATTTTCTACATCTTCTTCAAAAGATAAGGTTTTATTGCACCTTTTCCATTCAGTTTTTGTTCCCTGATTGTTTAACAAAAGATTGCTTGAAATTATTTTTCAGAAGTGTTCGAAACTTAGATATTGTTAGTTGAGTTTTACTCACCTGTCGAATTTGAAGAGCTTGTTGAACTGCTGGATCATTTGCCCAGACATAAGAGAGCACATAATTATACTTCTGCAAATAAATAAATCAGTCACACATTAGCTATATAAATTTGTGGACGGCACACTAAAGTAAGGATGACAATTTTTTTATTTTTTTAGAGATGATTGAGTTGGTAATTTTTCAATGGAATTAGATTCTTCATTGACTATCTATAGAAATTAATTGTTATGGACGGGTGACAAGGGCGGGGATTAAAACTTCTTCCATTAACGGGGATGTGCCGGAAATTGAACAAATATTTTTTAAGTGAGTACGGGGTGGAGACTATTCCCCCAGCTCCTGCTCCCACCCCCACCCCCGCCCCTGCCCCCCGGTCCACTACCATTCCTATACTAAAGGTTACAAAAAGATTCTCCTATATTTAGAGAGAGAGAGAGAGAGAGAGAGAGAGAGGTGATTACCCTGCACCACATTTCCTCTTGTTGAGATGGTAAGAAGAGAATATCCATGGAAATGTCTTCAAAGAATCTCAGACCCAATTTCAATTGATCTGGTTTTGGTGCTGTCGAACCACATTTGGGTTCCAAAATATGTGCTTCATTTAATTTTCCAGTGCACTGCAATTTTAAGTGGTGACCCGTTCTTAATGTCTTAAAATTTTTTTAAAAAAAAAACGTATTCTTTTCGAGCCCAAATATATACCTCTTACCTCTTTAATAAGTCGAAGATAATAGATGCATTGTGCATTGTTTGGATCTGGATCGACATATTCATCTTGACAGCTGCTTTTGGCTCTCTGAGAAAGTACAAGCAGGTATTTCAAATTGATGACTGCTAATGTTTCTTAGAGTCAGTGGCATCATTAAGAAGGAAACTAAGAGAGAGTGGTAAAATCACCTCGTAGTATTCATCCGATATAAGTCCCATTCGATGAGTGTATGTGGTTTTTGAATTTTGATCATTGTGGATATATGTTGCTGGATTTCCAAGCAAGTACCCCTGACTCAATTTCAAAAAAATAAATTACCCTCCAACAATTCACATTGCTCAAAAGAATGAATATTAATTGTTTGGAATATGTGGAAAACTAAGTATACTACGTAGAGACTAAACATGCTACTAGTTATAGTTAGACCATTCACCTCGAGAGACATGCGTGACATGTGTCCATCTTCGTTGCCTGCAACATCATAATTTTAGAAATTTTGCGCAAAAACCTTTAGAAAAAACAAACAAACTTAGATAAACATAAATCACCATTCGATATTTCTGAAACGATCATTGGAACAAGTATGCCAGAGTAGGAGTCACCGGCAATGTAAAGGTTATTTGTGGAGAACTTGGGGTGATCCAACAACCACTGCATTGTTAAGGATCGTTAATACTCAACTTATATTCATATGTTTGCCAGTATTTGGTCTAACATTGCTACTATTGCTTTCAACTTCTATAATCAAACAGAATAACATTTACTTTCTGCTCTAAGTTTTTTCACTCACCTTCCTAAGAAAACTATATGTTTCTTTTGCTGTTTCTATGTCTGAGGAGTAGTAACCTTCGGGGGTAGTTGCATAGGAGAAGTCAGTGCCCACAGGCGTGTCTAAGAATATAATGTTGGCGATCTGAAAAATATTAATCTTAATATGTGGAAACAAGAGTGAATAGAATCCTCCAAACCAGTGCATTGAGACGTGATGATACCTTTGTCCATGCGTATGAATTCGGAAGGAATGTCGGTAAACTCCCATTGAAAGCTGGAACATCGTAAATTAAAGGACCTAGAGAGAGTTTAGAACAGAAGTGTTAGCGACACCCCGGATTGTATTAGAGATAGAATTTAGGTTATTAAACGAGCTTATGATGATCAGACATTCTGAAATCGAAACTTTCTAACATACTTATGATACAAAGAGGAATGCTTGGACTCTATTCTGTTTGATTTGAACTTGTACTGTGTACCCCATAAAAGTTATATGGTACCACAGTTTTGTGTATAGCAAGTCTTCCCCGTTTCCTCTGTTCTCTTATAAACTCTTTTAAATGCACGAAACAAATACCAATTTCGTAAACAAGACCAGATAAAGCAGAACAACCGGGGCCTCCAGTGATCCAAAGAACAAGAGGGTCTTTGACAGGGTTACTCTCTGACTCAATGAAATAGTAGAATAGCTGCACATCATCCCTTTCCCCCACACTCACATATCTACATACACAAACCCAAAATCAAGATCATAACTCCTTCTCCAACTTTATAAACATAATATTTTTTACTAATGGAAAAATAAATGAATAAAATTTCGTTTCGGTCCATTATAAACAGAAATAGTTTGAAAATGTTTTGAACATATTTCAAAAATAGGAGAGAAACAGGGAAAATATTTAAAAGTTTATTTCTGAAACATAACCGAGACATATTAAAATACATTCAAAACATTCCGAAACACCTCGAAATATGAGAATTTCTGTATTCATTCATTGATTTGTTTTGAAAGTATTGGCTGTTTCATTGGATATGACATCAAATTTAGGTTTTTGGAAACCAAAAAAAAAAACACAAAAACTGCATGTTTGCAAATTCAACAGCAGAAAAGCTCACCCAGTTTCAAGTTTAAATGG